TCCATGATTTATAAACCACTTTTCATAAATTAGCTCCTTTTAATTCCAAAGAAGGTACAATAAGTGGTGCTTTTAAAACATAACTTTCCATGCAAATACGCTTAAAAATGCTTCAATCCAGAAGGGGCTCTGGCCCCACCCAGCCCCTTCCCATCTCCGCCTATGAAGGGGCCATGTGCTGGCAGGGATACCCTCAGTGAACTGAACGGCCTCCATAATCGTGGTGTCTTCGAAGTCACTCGCCGAAGGGCTGAATCCTGTTTCACTACTTAAGACAGACCGAAAAATTCTGAAAGATGATCAGCTTTCGCTCTGTCTTCAATGAGATGTTCGCCTTCAGCAGTCCTTAGCAGTGGTATTGGGTCCTTGTTTCGCGTCCATTGTCTTATGTAACCGTAGAATAATTTAGGGTTCTCCGCGGCACGGTTAAGCAGATCCCGTTCGAATTCCCTTCTAGTTCTGAGGACAAGGCCCTTGACTCGATTTCTTTGAGCTTCGTACGCACATATAGATGTGGGACTCCTATCAGAAAGCGATTTTTTCCACAGTCTTCGCTTTTTATTTCCTTTATTCTTGAAAGCTTCCGTAAGCCATCCAGGTGTGTGAGTTAACTTCTTCCGTGAAAGCGGATAGTGGTTTGCGATCAGCCTTGCAGCATTTCTCGAGCCGTTACCAGTCTTAGAGTATGCTTCCAATAAATACGGATTTCCAATCAGTGCGTGAAATTTCAGTCACCATCTGGTCGAAATCCTTGCGCCAAAGGTTTCTTCTAACTGTCATGGCTTTCACGGGCATGGAAAAAAGCGCGTCATCCTATAGAAGAACGACGTGGTCACTTTTACCTAAGGGGGTAGGCATGACACCTCATCAATGCTGTCCTATGATTTCGTAGGGACAAGAGCAAGGCAGTTGGCCTTCGCGTACTCTAGCTGGACACGTGATATGTTGAGTGAGAAATAAATTCAATGCCGTGTTCAGAAAACTCCCATCGAAGGTCCATTCTGAGCTATTTGTATGGGTCGAGCTCCAGTCAATATGAGGCGCATTAAAGTCGCCCGTGATCAGGATATCCGGCCGCGTAGCGAACTTTTCGAGTTCATCCAGCAGGCGAGCGTCGGTCACGGTGTCCCGTCTCGGTGGTCAGGACATCGAGACTAGGTGAGCTCGGCACTTTTGTGGGCAGCCAGATTGCCTAGGAAGTACACGAAAATTAATTGGTTTCGTCTGATACATTAATCCGATTTTTCATATACGTGATTACGCCTCCTCCTTGACCGTGGCCAACTCACGGTCGTCCACGAGCTGGGTCCGCCAGGTCTCTGTTAGATAGATAGATAATTTTTATTAAAGACCCGTCGGGGTCCCATAAAAGAGGTTACGTCAGGGGATAGATAACAGAGGTGGATCTTCAGCTCGTAGAACTTAAATGGCAAACTGTGCACATTGGTGTACAAGAATTCTAATTTCCGGCTGACGGAAGATGTGGTTACATTTTGATAAGCGCTTTCACTTAATATGTCGGCTGTGTGGTCATTCGGACCGGACCTGTCCAAAGGAAGAGTGACGGACGCCGCCGTACTTGGTTGTCTTATATAACTAAATTGTCCTCACCCTCGCTGAGCCTCTTTCTTAATTCTAGAACTAGTTGACGACGTTTCAGACGTTCCACTGGCGATTGGTCCGGTTAAAAAACACTTGCGTTGGAGCTTTTAATCCTTAATTGCCTGGAGAGAATGAGACTGACTTAGTCGATGCTGGCCGGTACAACTTTAGGAGGCCAGAGACGAGTCGACACCGATGGATTATCTGCTTGTTTTCCAAGATGGAAGGCTTTGATCACTTCAGTAGCCTCATTAGGTTCCAAAATATTATTGAGGAGACCCTGGAAGAGTGATAGTTCTTCTGAAGCCCGCTCCTACGAAGTATTTGAACTTCATTCAGGGAGCACCTGAATAATAAGACACTTTTTTCTGTCGTCTTCTTTTTATTTTCTACGGAAGTTGGATTCCCCAAATGACGTAACGCTCTGGAACTATGCGCGGGTGATGGTGGAGCAGATGCGCTTGCACCGTCTGCTTGTTTGATTCCTATCTTGACATCCCTGGAAGAAACACTTCCCAGGGAAGACTGTGAATAGAGCTCTGTGGCTATAGTGAATGAATCGGTTCCACCGCTTGTACTAGGGCTATTAAGCTCGGACTGTTTCGGAGAATCAGCAAAGGTCTTTGGACACAACATTTGCAATGATGGACGGGACGTCCATCAATGTCTCTGTTTCGGCTTCTTCAGAGGCATCTTCCCGATGTAGCCATCCGTTTTCCTCGGCCTTTTTACGGTTTAAATTCTTTTTCTCCCCAGTTTTGAGTTGCCTTTCTGGTCGTTAGTATCTCGCTTTATAGCTATTAGTTCTGGGACTGCTGTAATGGGTGCCGGCGGGTCTATTATACTGGGAGCTTTTGCCCTACTTCTGGTTACTCGTCCAGTGGGCAAATTGGTAGGGCTAGCTTTATCAAGATTGCATCGCAACTGGGCTTTCGTCTTTGCGATTTCTTCTTTAAGATAGTTGAACTTAACGGTCAGAATCTGGCATCCACTACAGCCTTGGCCTGCATTTTCTGCGTCTATCCAGTCAGGGAGACGGTGTAGTATCGCTCGCCGCCGAGCTGCGGTGGTCGGTGGGTTGGCGCAGTTGACTGAGGAAGAGGTAATTGCTGGGTCGACCCCACAAGCCGACCACTTATTTTGGACGTCGGTACGTACTTCAGTCATGCCGTGGAGTTATCGAAAAGAAGCAAGCCGAGGGTATAGAAGAAAAAACTTCGCCTAGGGCCAAATAGAGAAGACTGCGCGTATGGTTGGATTTGTCCGAGAGTTTCGAGAATGCAAGACCTGGAGGATGTTTTGGCCAAGTTTTTTTGGTAATATGCCAAGTGTACAAATATAAGCAGCTCAACAATCAGTGTAGAAATTATCGACTCGGCCTTTAGTAGGTTCTTTTCCAAAGGCACCGTAGAAAGTTCAAGACAATATGTAGGGTTGCTAGGCTGTGTTGGCTAGGCTCAGATTGCCTGCAGAATTTCCAGGTTTGCAGAAAATTGTCGTAGTCGTACTTTAGTGACCGAGCGGGGGACGGATGTCGGATCACGGGTTATGAAGGAAGGGGATGATCGCAACTTGAGCTTAGATGGTTCAGCCGATTGGAAGATACGGTTTAAAAGGCCTTGTATCTTAGAGTGGACGGGATCGGGATGAAAAGGCATACGGGACATGGGATAAGCAGCACAGGCGATAAAAAGATATACGTTTATTCGAGTACGAAAAATAGAAAACAAATAAACGAGGCTACAAATAAACGAAAAACACAATGGGACGATTTATCGGGAGAAGTCATAGGTTATTCGTCGTCACGTGGCTCTGGAAGCGTAGCTCCTGCAAGGTAAACGGGAGAAAAATTCCTCTATCGTGACAGTTCATTAAAACACTCAAGGTAGGGTCCCTCGTCAGATCTCCGGCTCTTAAAGTACGATGAGGTCAACAATATCAAATAGGTGGAGGGTAATAGGTAATAATGCGTTTGTAATCCAGTTTCTGATGCAGAACCAACTCGATTGAAAATGTTTTTCTAGCTCCTCAAGTCATCGGCATAACTAAAGGATTGAAAATGTTTCACCGCAAATGAGATATCACTTATGTAAAGCAGGAACATATGAGTCCTGTCGTCAACAAAACATAAGGCATATTTGCTTACCCCCTGCCGCCCTCAATCTAACTATCGGACTGAACGTTATCCCAGCAGATTCAAAATAGACGTCCTGAAATCCCATGGCGAGGGGATCAAGGTCGGGATAATCTAGAAATGTCTGTTTTCTTACCGGACTACTCCGAACTCGCAGTCCACTAGTTTCATTTTTCCTTCTAGATCATTGATATGTCGCACGGTTGGACTGGGGCAACCGTGGCAGCTCGGCGAGTCCACATGCTGTTCGGCATGCACGTTGCTGTTGGGCTCGTCACCACAAGCAAGTTTGACAGCGACTTACGGCAACTCAACTGAAGTCGATTGAACGCTATCAGTTATTCCAAATATTCTGCTGGATACTCTAGACATTCCAACATATCAGATGGTTTCTGAACTAATTGCTACATCTTACGATGATGCCATAAGCTCTTCAGGCTAACTCGGGTCGTTCTTCCAAAGACGTGGCACATAGTAAGATGCGGCAGCGTCTGGCACTACCGAGCAACCCTATTTAGGGAGGCACTCCTCCCTCCGCAATGGGGAGGGGCTAGAAAAGGTGCCTTAAACAAATGCTAGGGAACCACGCGGTCTGCAGGCTGACCGTGGTCGCAGACGTCAAACTCACGGTTAAGACAATCGAAATCGAAACAACAACAACAACAACAACAACAACAACAACAACAACAACAACAACAACAACAACAACAACAACAACAACAATACTCGCTCTCTTCTTCTTCTTCTTCTTCCTGCCTCTTCTTCTCCCCCCCCCGCCGCCCCGTTCACCAGACTGGTAGGATAAGTCCGCTGAAGATCTACAAGCACGGTGGCCCCCTAACCTATAGAACAGCTGACGGCGCCCTTCCAGGAGATGTGGCGTCAAGAAAAAGTCCCACAGGATTTCAAAGACGCAACAATCGTCCATCTGTACAGGCGAAAATGAAACCGCCAGCTCTGCCACAATCACCGAGGCATCTCCTTGCTGAACATCGCCGGAAATATCTTCGCACGAATCCCTCTCAACCGCCTCAATAACCATCTGGAACAGGGCCTTCTGCCGGAAAGCCAGTGCGGCTTCCGTTGTCATCGTGGGACCACGGATATGATCTTCGTCGCCCGTCAACTTCAGGAGAAGTGTCAGGAGATGCGGACCCACCTGTAGTCTACACTCGTGGATCTGACGAAAGCCTTCGAGACGGTGATTCGTGAAGGACTGTAGAAGATCATGCAGAAATTCGGCTGTCCGGAGCGATTCACTCAGATGGTGCGTCAGCTGCATGATGACATGATGGCGCGAGTCACGGACAACGGAGCTGTCTCAGAGGCATTCGCAGTGACCAACGGAGTTAAACAGGGATGCGTGCTGGCACCTACCCTCTTCAGTCTTATGTTGCCTGCCATGCTGATGGACGACTACCGCGACGAACGCCCTGGAATCCGCATCGCCTACAGGACGGACGACCACCTCCTCCATCAACGACGGATGCACTTCCAATCGTGCGTATCCACAATCATTGCTCACGAACTTCTGTTCGCCGACGACTGCGCCCTAAACACCACCTCGGAAGAGGGGACGGACCTTCTGGAGCAAACGGGACTCCTCAGCATCTACACCATACTGAAAGTCTGCACATCGCCCTTTTGATGATGACGAAAGTGTCATCGACGTATATGGCCCAGAACGTCGGGGGTACGAGCTGAAAACCAGCCGCTCGAGCCTCTGCAAAACCGCTTCGGCAATTAATCCAGACAGAGGCGATCCCATGGGTGTCCCCTTATTTTGCTCATAGACCTGGCCGTTGAATATAAAAACGTATTAAGACACAATTTTAGAAGCTCGATTATGTGAACTCGTTTGAGCTGTTGATCGGTCTCATCATACCTCTCCCGGAGAAGGCCATCAATAGTGTCGACAGCCAGCGCGGGTGGGATGGGGGTGAATAATGAGATCACGTCGAATATATGTGTGATATGTATATATGTGTATATATTTGGAGGGGTAGAGGCGGAGCCCTTAATGACCCTATTTATGTACAGTGCTTTCGCAGATTCGCGCCAAAAATAAAATTGCAGTCATTTACAACGTGATCGGGTTACAGTTAACTCGTAATGATAAGGAGGTGCATCCGGTCACCGTAAATTAGTGCGGAGGGACCGTACATGACAGCGTTTTACAGAACTGGCTGTGAGTACTCATGCTGTAAAAGCCGGTTACGGTCAAAAATTAGGCGAGCAAGTGTTCTTTTAAATATGCATTTTGTGTTAACCGTCACGATCTCTCTCGGAAGCGAGTTCCACGGTCGGACGACCCGCTGACCGAATGAAAACTTTCAACGGTCTAGCCGCGTACTTTCACCCCTGGCTTTGTAGGTATGATCGCGTAATTGGTTTGTAGGGCAAATTCAAAGAAGTTCTCCGTTCCTGAAGAACAACGTTGGCCACGGACAATCTCAAATGCCCAGAGTAGACTGCAGTTTAGCTGCCTCTAAGAGAGAGGAAATAAGCTAAGCGCACTCAGCCTCTCCTGATAAGGCAAGTGCTTTGGACCATCGACCATATCCGTTGCTCCGCGTTGCACCTGTTCGAGTAGGTCGATATCCTTCCTCATCCATGGTAATAATAATTTTTATTCGAGACCCGTGGGGTTCTTTCATTGCAGGTAAGAATAGTCTTTACACGAATTTTAGAATTTTAGAACAGGTAGACAGAATCTATACAATACTTAATTTATAATTATTGAATAAGTAGTATGTTACAAAGAATGGTGAGCGAGCAGTAAAAAAACTCCTAACGTATAAACAAAGTGAGCATGACTGGATTAAAACTATAGGAGAAAAAACTCTAGCTCCTGAATATATAAAAGGCAGGATGGACCGGCCTGTAGGAGTGTAGGGGTGTCAGCGGTGGGTTCACGTAATTGTCGTGGAGGTCGCTCACTTGCTTTGAGGTGAGACTGCGCCTAGCGTCCACTTGCTGGCACTCAACTCTCACCTGTGGCTCCACGTAACTGGACTCTGCTCAGCGGCCACACCCCGGGCAACCGTCTCGACCGGCGGGCTAAACCAGGTGAGGGGGCCCTGTGCGCTGTGCCGTATGCACAGGGTTTGCGGATTCCGCTGGATCGAAGGTCAGATGGAACCTTGCGTCGGCACCGTCGTGACGTGGTTCGTCTCTGCACGCCGCTGGACAGCCGGTGACGGGATGGATCTCCACATTGACATCGCCTTGACGCGCCCACCTACACCGTCGGAGACCGCGGCCTACGGCGAATTCGAGTCGCTCTCCACTACAACCCGAAGTCGTGGTCCCATAGTGGAGTTCGGCCGTGCCACAACGGCACATGGCAGCCCTATTCAGGGATGGCACTGCCAGCCCCCACGAGGGG